AAAAAAAAAAAAAACAAGGATTGTTGAAAATATTATACAACAGAAGTAATACAGTTATCAAGCAGTTCTGGGGTTAGTTCAGAGATTAAATGATTTCTTAAGGAATTTAGTTTTTTGTTTGTTTTTTGTAAATTTCTGCTTGCCATTCCCAGCTAGTAATCTTCTTGGTAGCTGCAGCTGCTGCAAGTATCGTATGTTCACATACCAATGTCCAGAGGCAGAAATAAAAATCACTTCTTTTTTTGAGCAAGTTTTTAAGACCCAAGAAACATCTTCCAATAACCCTGCAGGAAGCTCTCCTTTAAATCTCATTGACCAGAACTTGCCACATTTAAACCACTCACTCGCTGGGGGATGGGACCAGTATGGTTAGCATACATCAGCTCTGCCAACAGGAGAGAAAAGGAAAATGTCTGTTAGACAAAGGGGCAACAGTGTGTCCGCTGAAAAGAGCACACATTGATCCTGGGTTATGGCTGGTGCTGGAACATTCTTTGAGCTTTGTGTTAATATAAGCAATTTGTATATGAGAAAATCAAAACTGGGAGAAGTGAGGTAGCTACAAAAATTACATGTTTAAAACATGGTGAAGCTGGGATTTCAACTCAGAATTGTATGATTCCAATTCTTTAATCTCTCCACAATATCATACTATCGTCTCTACACCACGATTCACTCTCAGTTTTAATAATAGTGCTACTGTTTTTGGATCTAACAATCAATTTATCTCTGTGGCTTTGCTTTTCACTTCAGATTTACTCTTCCTCAAAGCTATCTGCTTACTCTGAGAGCTTCACATAATCCATGAGAATAACTGGAAATCTCTACCAGCAGATGTGATGTTTCTAATGGCAAATGGGTTATGTAATTTTACATGTTCGTGAGACATGTCTGCTTTGATTTGAATTTAATCTATCAACACTGAAGTAATCTTTTTCCCAAAGAAATTTTAAATCCCCCCAAAGTAGTAAAGGCACGTTCATTTCTCCTGGTTCTTAGTTTACAACTTTGGGGGGGGGGGAGCCTTTATATCTTCTTTTTACACCAAGACTAACTTCATAGAAAATCATTCCAAATCATTTAAGCATTTCTCACATCAGCTCTTGCCTTTCATTTCTAGCATATCAGGTCTTTGTAGACATCATATCTGGAACAACATCTTTTAGTTTTCTAGTTTCACATATTCCAAAATTATCATGCATACTTAAAAAAAATACTTTCGTTAAAAATGATTCTATTTTAGGCCGGCCAAGTGGCATGGTGGTTAAAAGCTGGCTTGGGATGCCAGTGGGCCCCAGTTTGGATCAAACATATGAGGGCCAGTGACACTGTCCTCCACAGCTAAGATGCTGAACAACAGCTCAACCTGGAGCTGGGCTGCCTTGAGTCACTGGCGACGGTGTAGGCTGCAGCCCCTGCTGCATTGGGTTGCTATGGGCTACCATATGTAGCCAGCAGCCAGCGTGAGTGGCCAGCAGCTGCTGTGAGCAGCCAGCAGCCGCTGTGAGCAGCCGTCCAGAAGCCGGCTACTGATCTGCCTCGCTCGGGAAGAGCGCAATGATGGTGCCAACTTGGGCCAGTGAAGCAACGTCCTCCACAACTAGACTGGAGAACAAAAAGGACAGCAACTTGTCTGTTCCCCTTCCCCCAATTCCCCAGCGCTGTTCCTATCCCCCAATTCCCCAATAAAAATCTTTAAAAAAAAAAACATTCTATTTTACTTGTCTGCTCAGATAATTTGAGTAGATTATTCCACATGTGAAAAAAGAAATAGTAAATATATTGATAAATATAAATCAGGAAATTTAGTCCTCTGTATTTCTCCACATGGAAGGAATTGTTTTACATATTTTGCAGGCTGTAGCTTGATGTCTTGTCCCAAGTCCTAATAAGAAGTAACCCATTTAAACCCATGTCACTACATGACAGGCACCCTTTGAGCATGTGAAGTGTATTGATTAACAATGAAACTTCACCAGACCCCTGTTGTGTAAGTACTATTATTATTATGACTTTGCAGATGAAGATACTGGAGTACAGAGGGATAAAGACATCTGCCAAGTACATATAGAAATGAGACAGCAAAAGGATCAAATATATAGTGATGGAGGGAGAACTGACTCTGGATGGTGAATGCACATTGTGATATATAGGCAATGTATTGAAGAATTGTACCTGAAATCTATGTAACTTTACTAACCATTGTCACCCCAATAAACTTTAATTAAAAAAGAAGAAAAAGAAATGAAATGGCAGAGCCAGGATTCAGACTCCAGTGGTTAGTGACCAGAGGCCATAAACTCAGTCACACTTTACATCTTTAGTCTGGAGAGTTATTTATTGAAGAGGTATTTGTTGAACATCTATTCTGCACCCTAAGCTATACCCAACTCTTGATGTGTTTTACAGAAAAATTACACAACCATGAATCTGCACCATAGGACAAAAAGTAAGCTTTATAAACACCTGGATTTTAGTCAAAATCAAGGCAGCCTGTGTCTTCTCCAACCTTTGAGTGACACTTGGTGGATTCTTTCTTCTCTCTTATGTTCTGAGCTCTTGGATTTATGTTCCCCCTATTTCAGCAATAACCTGTGGTCTAGCAGGATCTGACATTTTTCCTGATGAAATTCACTGCACTTTCTTGCTCTCCTCCTGAAGGAAGCTGTCCCAGTTCCTAGGCCAATGGCACAACCACTGCCCACTGCATCGCCTGTCTATGACACCTAGTGGGGCTCAGTACTAGGTTTGCACGCTGCACAGTGCTCACCATCTCAGATCCCCCATTTGCAAAGATTCGTCCTCTAGTTTCTTGTTTAAATAATCTTTCAGTGTATTGTGTTCTTGTACCCTCTCATGATCTACTTCTCAAGATTCTTCTGAAATATTTTTCTAACTTCTTACTAGTTTTTTTCACATAAAAAGTCCAGCACTTGACTGTCATATGGAAAGAGTATTAGATCTTATCTTTTAAGATCATCTGTTAGTAATTTTAGGGATCTTGCTCCTTAAATTGAAAAAACAAAAAAGTAGGAAAATATGTATGTTATCTAATCCCATATGTTCTTATAACATGATTCAAATTTGATAATATTAATACTACTAGTAATAATTATTAGACTTTACTGCATACTTCCTCTGCCAGTCATTTAAAATATTTTACATGTATTAAATCAATTAATTTCCATGGGAACTCCTGGTAGAAGGTACTATTTATTATTGTAGCGTTTTACAAATGAGGAAATGAAAGCACAGCAAGGCTAAGTAACTTTTGTTCAATGTCACAGGAAGCTAGGCACCACAGCCTGGCTTCATAATCTCAGTGCTACTCCCATGGCGCTTTCAGACTATTGACCTGATCTACAAGTCCCTGAAAGATATGGCAGACACTCTAAACTGGTGTTCTCAGAAAACAGGTTAGATGCGTGACTTCTCTATCTTCACATGTGAGATGTGGTCCGAGTGTTCATGGAATGTAGGTCATGGCTTCCTATAAGAATTATTATAATTTCTTTCTTTGTTTTTTAAGATTTTATTGGGGAGTTAGGGGAGGGGAACAGTGTTGGGAACCAGCCAAGTTGTTGTTCTTCAGTCTTCCTTGTGGAGGGTGCCAGTCGCCATCTGGCTGCCCGGTGGCAGCTCATGGTCTCTAAGATCAAGGTGCCAAGTTCATTCAGTCTTAGTTGCAGGTGGGTATAGCCACCATCCCATGTGGGAGTCGAACCAGCAGCCTTGTTGTTAAGAGCGAACGCTCTATCTATTGAGCCATCTGGGCAGCAGCTCAGCTCAAGTTGCTAAGTTCAGTCTTAGATGGGTGGGCATAGTCCACCATGGAACAGGCAATCTTGTTATTACACAAGCTGAGCCATCCTGCCACCTGTTGGCAGCTCAGCGACAGCTCAGCTCAGGCGTAGAGTCACTTTCCCATGTGGAAATCGAACCACCGGCCCTGTTGCTCAGAGCTTGAGCTCTTAAGCCAACTCCTAACCAACTGAGCCACTCGGCCAGCCGAGAATTGTTATAATTTCCAATTTCGGTTTAAGTCACACCACAGCCCTATCAGAATGTCTAAAAGTGTATTTGTGATTCAATGACTAAAAAATTAGAAATAGTTCACCATTGAAACAGAAATCCCTGAAAGCAGACAGTGTTGTAGAATTTTTTATTCTCTTAAGATCGTAATCAAAAGAACAAAGAAAACCTGAACCATTTGAATGGGAAAGTCTTAAATTGTGCAAAAGAGCATTTTGACTTTAAAGAAAATTGAATCTGTTATAATTGTAATATTGATTTTTATTGTCATGGTGTATTTATTGCTTTCAATGTTCAGCAATACAGGCACATTTCATGTAAAAGAAGATGAATGAACATGAGTCACTAATCATTGGGATACTGAAATCGAAAAATCTGAAAATTCATATTTTTCCTTTTGATATATACTTAAGCCTTCTGTCATTTAAACACCATTGCCTTCTGAATGAGATATAATGGGAAAAATAGGTTTCTTTTAAACTAATTTATAGAAAAATATGTTACGCTTGTTAGAATTATGTTGAGGAAGTGTTCAACAACAAAACATGATGAGAGACTAGGAAGATATTCACACTGTCATTGTTTGTTGGTTGGTTGATTGGGGTTCTTTTGTTGTTGTTCAATCTGTTCACTTACTATATTTTTTTTGGTTGATATGTTTTAACTAGTTTTGAGCTGATAACAGCCAGGAATAAAACTGAGTTGAGATTCTTACAAAATGTGAATAATTTTGTGACCAAATAGTATCACCATAAACTTTAACATTGCATTCATTGATTTATGTTTTACCTCAGCATAGAGGCAATAAATAAACATATCTTCTGAGGCAACTCTATTTTGAAATTAATTCAGGGAGAAAAGGTATCTTCACTTTTTTGGTAAATATTTCTGTAAGGTAATTTTCATTAAAATTATAAAATCATAGAACCAAGGTACTCTGTTTTCACTTGCTCTGTTCACTATTTTAGAGCTTCGAGAAACCAAGACCTCTGAACACTTCAGCCTGTCCCACCACCCTTTAGACTACAGGATATTATTAATGGATGAAGATCAGGACCGGATCTATGTGGGCAGCAAAGATCACATCCTTTCCTTGAATATTAACAATATAAGTCAAGAACCTTTGAGTGTAAGTTTATTACTTTCATGAGGGCAGTGTTGACCCTAATGGGCCCTTTTTTTCTTTAAAAACTTCAAATACAATGAAAAAACTATGTATTTTATTAGAAAAATAGAAAATAAGGCCACATGTTAATGAGTAATCGGAAGTTAATACTTATTTCATGGACCAAAAATATAATACATTCAGTTCTCCTTGTCTGATCTCATAGTTTTTAACAGTCTAACACCTGAATCTAAATGAGAAAGTAGATCCTGTGTGTACAGATATAGAAAGAAAAAAAGAAAAGCACGGAGTGTAGCGTGAAAAAAGGGTCAGATTAAAGGAAGAGCTACCTCGTCATCTGTGTGGAATCCAAGAAGGCCTTAAAAGGAGCCCCGTTATTAAATGACTGCTCTTTGATCAAGTGTGGCCTGTATTTATCGTTCTGCTGCACAACAAGGAAGTCAGTTGAGCTTCATTGGCATAAAGAAATAAAAGTAGGTTAATTATAAATTTATTACAGCAAGGAGATTTCTGAACTTATTATTTTAACAATGTGCAACAGACAATTAAAAAATATAATCGCTGCCAGACCTAACCCAAGGCTATAATGACTTGGAATGCTAATACAATTTCAAAGAGGTACTGTCTTAGATTTTATCCAAGTTATTTTAACTGTTGACTTACCTAGGGGCCCATTTTAAGGAAATCTACCAGCCTGAATGTCTGGTTTACCAAAAACAATATTAAGCTGAGATAGCAATATAAATGTAAATTCATTGTGATATAAGCAGTTGGGAAAAGTGGACTATCATTCAAAAAGAAGGAAATATACATTATGTTTTGCACATTAATAATGATGCTATATTAATATTATACCATTAGTAAATGGCACATACTATTAAAAGTCTGTTGTTGAGAGAAAAATGGATGGAAGGAATAAAAACATAATTTTTAGAAGAAAATAAGAAAATATGAAGTTCATAAAATGAAAGAAGAAAGCATTTTGAAGTAGGAATATAGAATACCTTTCAGAAACCTATGAGCATACAGTAAATGAAGAGCATTGAGCTGTCATATATACTAGTGAGATTTATACAACCTTTATTTTCCTTTTCTGAGCAGGTTTTCTGGCCAGCATCTACAATCAAAGTCGAAGAGTGCAAAATGGCTGGCAAAGATCCCACAGTGAGTGCTTAGAAAAAAAAAAAAACACCCCATAACTTAAATATTTGGTCTTTGAATCCATGTACCTTGAATGCAGCCAAGAGTGAGACCACGGGTGTTGGTGTTTTAAATTCTCTGCTGGACACATAATGAAAAATGTAAATGCAAAGAAATTGGAACTCTTAAACACTGTAATTTAGGAATTCCTGACTAGGTAGAAATGTCCTGCTTTGCTTTCATTATTGCACCCTGACACTTTTCATGATGGATTTCAGTAATAACGCCTATTCCAAGTGGATTCAACCTGTGGAATTCTCAGCAGGCTGCTGAAATAATGATAATGCAAGTATCTGGATCAAGTCCCAGATACCATGTGGGCTTTTCCAAAGAAAGATTCTCAGCAAAAGGGTTGTGGTTAGCCAGCACATTCCAGAAGCATAAATCACTAGTGATGACTGGTATCTTTATTAATTAAAATTAACCATAGGAACAAAAATCGAGGCACATATAAATATTAATAAATTTTCAATGTGTAACACTTGTACAAATCATGTTCCTTTAGGTATTATAGGAGTCCATATAGAGTCAAGGAAAGAATCTATATGGATTTCTACAAACATCTTGCAGAAACTGACAGACTATTCTTGAATATTGTGAGAAATATATGGAGCAGATATTTAACGCACACCGTCATTTGATGTTCATAATGAACCACATATGTCATCTCACCTTCTTATCTCAAATCATGATAAATAACACAGGGGATCCAAGTATCAAAGTCACCCACTCGTATACAAATGACTTGGTAAAAAAGTTTCTTTATTCATCTATTCATGCTTTCAATCATTCATTTAACTCATATTGATTGATCATCTAGTAATGCATCTAGCATAGTATTAATTGCTACAGACGTAATTTTGTGCCATAGTAGACATATTTGTCTCTCATTGACTTTATTATCTTGTTGGAGATGTCAACATTAATCAAATTAGCATGGAAATGCGTGATAATGCAGGTATGAGATTGAAATATGGTAAATGGGTAGCAAAATTAGTAAGTGTACACACACACACACACACACACACACACACACACACACACGAGTCAGATCTGAGGTCATAACAAATAATAGCCTTGACTTAGTGTCAAAAATTTTGACTAAACACATCATTATAAGTGTAGAGGTAAGAAATGCTAACTTCAGGGAGAAGGCTGTGCTCTGAGCCTTGGTGGTACTTCAGAGATTCACCAGGTTGGTTCAAACAAGTTTAAGACTAATCCTTATGGAAAGAGAAACTGAGGGAGTGAAACTTTTCTTTTCGTTGACTCTTTTAAAACAGTCCTAGGTGTAAGATTTTGAAGAGCTCAGTGTCAAGGCTGGGCCCCAGAACGCCCTGGCGTGTAGACTCTCCAGGTCTCACTGGGGGGTGTTTTTGGCAAGAGGGCCCACCAGTGGGTCTCACTTGTTCAGCTTCACAATTCACATGATAATTTTAAAATGGACAGAAGGAGCTTGCAGGAACACATTTGGTACCCACAGGATCTTCCGGACCACAGTCTAGAGGAAAAAATACAGAAAAATGTGGAAGAATCATTCAAAAGCATACATTACAATTGCCTTCTGGGGAACCAATAGTAGAATGAAGTTTAATGTTGTAGAGTACTTTTTTTTTTGTCCTGTGAAGATATTATTTCATTAATTATGTGAATTAAACTATTTTCTTTCACTATTTAATGCAGATATTTTTCCCACTGATTTGTATCTGATCATGACTTGCTTTTTGCCACAATAATATCCTGTGGCTGTAATTACAGGATTTAATTGTCCTTTGTTCAGAAAGACTTTTATTTCCCATTCATACGAACTACCACAGGCAGAATACGTAGGATTTGGATTCCTTTGCACATCCTCGTTGCAAAAATGGCTGTTGATTGTTCTGAAGAATCTTAGCCAAGTCATTTGAAGTCTTTCTCCCTTTGGCACAACAGAAATGCTCTGTCATTTGCATTCTTATAATTAAAAGTCATTAGATGAAAGTGTCAGTACATGCTTATGTTTTCTCAGTTTCACCATGCTGTAATATCATTCATAGATACCCTTAAATTCTGCTCTACAGCCAATTAGTACACACAACATAAGTAACTGGTGGAGGGTTCTGCTCCAGTACAGCCAACATTGTTGGGTCCTGGGGAATAATAATCAAACCAGCTCTTTCAAATACATGTTTGTCTATGCAAGAGAAGAGAAGGTTTGACAAATCCATCTCCTTTCACACATGTGACCTTTAATCAGACCACAGGAAAAAGGCCAGTGGTAGAAAATTGAAGTTAAATAAGCCTTTAGAAGTTCTACAGAACAACATATTTTTATTACACTTTTCAATGAAACCACATGTTAAAGAATCTCAACTCTCTTGGCATAAACATCATAAATATCTAATTACTTCATATTTCATATAATTACTTCATATTGGGAATTAAATGTTTTAATTGGCATGAATCAATTAGATATTGTGAAGAAACCAGAGATGAATAAGATGGACTTCCTATGTTTAAGAGTCTTTGCAATACACTAGAGATTATGAGACATAGATGCAATAATTATCAAATAACAATAGCCCACATTGAATGGAATGGGCCAGCACTGTTTTGAGTGCCTCATTTTAATCCTCATAACAATGCTACGAGATGGAAAGATGGATATTATTAAAATAAAGAAACAAAATCACTTAGACAGTGAGGAACTTACTCAAAGCTGCACTACTAGCAAGTGAGGGCTGCTGTCTGCCTCGCTCATATGGCTGTAGACCCTGCACCTTAGTGGATAAAGCATGGCGCCTCACTTGGAAGAATATGGTAAATGCCAAGGAAACACATGAAAGACAAAGAAAAAACACAGTGCAGCTGGGATCCTTAGGAAGGCTTGATAGACAAGGCGGAGGCTCTGTGGTCTTATGCTAACCTTTCCTTATTTTATTTCAACGATACTGTTAACTTTTTCCTCTTTCAACCTTTGGTACATACTACATGTAATTCTCTTGTTGCTTAATTCACTTCCTATATTTTTAGCCTGGGAATCATCTACTCATCCTTTCAAGAGCGTGCAGATGTCACTTCTCTGGAGAGGCTTTTTTCCCCACTTGGGACTGAGCAGGCTTTTGTGTGCACCTGAAACACTCTAGCGCTTGCTTCACCGCGTTTTTAACTATAACTCTCCCCTCATGATTGGAAATACCGTGTGCTAAGTGTCAGTATCCCCAGGGCCCATGTCTGTATTTAGCTACTTCATAAAATCTGAACAAGATCTGAAAAAAAAAAAAAATGGAGATGGAAGCGAGCAAGCATGGGAACCTGTTCCAAGTGATTGTCAGAGGTTAATGGAGCCACACAGTGGACGATGAGCTTATGAATGCCCTTCGATTCATGTTTGCAGTAAATTTGTTATGCACACATATTTTATGCACACTTTGGTTAAATGAAAAAAATTTGCTTTTAAGTATTATATTAATCAATTACTGAGGAAAACATAAACTAGTGACAATTAAAATCCATACTGCTGTAACAACTGAAAGAAAAAAATAAAACCCAGAATCAAGCACCCCTTATTTCTTGAGATTTTTTACTTATATCAAATTTTAAAGTTATAAAAAATAACACTTAATTATTAGAAAATAATTCAATGTAATTTAAAATTTGACCCCAGGTAATAATATATCATAATACTATAATAATCTAATATTCGTAAAGAAAATAAATGATCATGGTGGGACTATAGCTAATTTTCTGCCTCAGATAAAGAGACTATAACCTCTCCCATTTTCCTTTCTACCCCTATGTATTCACGTTCTTACATACTCCCTTTATTTCTAGTGTTAATATTTTACTCATTCTAAGTAAATTGAGCTTAAACAATAGGGCATGCTATTAAATATATCCAATGAGGTAGGGTATAATGATTGTTCTAAGTAAATGCTATAAGAGATCATTGAAAAATTAAGCATGATTACATTTATTTAGATGTATAAGACATATTCATTACATGCACATCATGTCAAACTTAATTTATTCATTGTAAAATACCAGTGTCCTTTTTTTTGTGTGTGACCAGAGGATTCTAAACTACTGGAAGATAGATTTTCTTTAGTAATAAACTTACCAAAATAACCTTGATTTATTCCCCAGAACAAAGAAGTGTTGGTCAAGAAGGTAAAAGAGGTATTTTTTTTCCATTACATAATATGGACCTTGAAGGGTCAATATTTAAAGCCTATTCACCTGTGCTCCGGATTTATTTTTTAAAACATCTATTTTTAAATTATATAACTAATACATGTTTAATACAGAATCTTTGAAGGCCTAGAAAAGCATGTAGAAAGCAACAGAAAACAATCTCGTATTAGCTCTTTGACCCTGGAGACTTAACCTCTCTGTGTCTTAGTCTTCTTATCTGTGTAATGGGCATACTTATAGTGCCTACCTTACCAGATTGTTAAGAGGATTAATGAGTTAATATTTGTAGAGAGCTTAGAGCAGTACACAGTACACAGTAAGTTCTGTATTACTATTAAGTAAATAAAATAAATCCCATATCCAAACATAATAGCTTAAAAAGTGGAGGTGTAACCTTTCTGCATTTTATTATATGACATATATGTATATAAATAAATTGGCATTATATTCTGTACAATGTTAGCAGTCTGATGTTTTATTTAGCCTTGTAGCAGGAAATAGTTTTGAAATAGAGTTAAACAATAAAAAGAAAGCATAAGTGGTACTGCATTTCACTGAAGTCTCGTACCCCAGACCTTTGATGGGTTTCTACTATGGTCAGAGCCTGTACTCACCTCTGTGCAGGACAAATGCCCTCTACACCTCACAGGTTTGTACTCACAACTGGAACCGAGACTATGTATGTGTATGAAAGAATCTAAGGTCTAACCCTGTGTATCTCTATTATGTGCCAGACACTATTCCAAAAGCTTTATTGTTATTTTCCTCACAACAAATATTATCATCATCATTTACAGATAAAAAGATTGAAGCACAGAGAAGCTAAATAAATATCTTGAGCTCAAATAGCTAGTAAAAGATAAAGCCAGGGTTTGAACCCTGGTCACCTGGCTCTGAGATTTGTATACTTGAATCTGCTCTCTGTGCCCATCTGAAGACTATGGCGTGATGACAGACCAACTCTAATTGCCTCCCTGGTTTCATCAGACAATAATCCACCACCTGCTCTAGGCGCTATTCCCCAAGGAACTCATGCATTGTCATGCTTCCATTTTTCTGTTCATGCTCTGTTTCCTGTTGGAGTGTTCTTTCCTTATGCTTTTGCCTGTCAAAATCTCTAGCTTATGCTGCAAGTTCAATTCCAATGACACCCCTTTCAAACCTTTACCCCCAGTTCAGCATTACTCATTCTCCCTTCTTTCCTTCTGTAGTACACTCTGGAAAGCATATCTCTATTATAGCATCCACCACAACCTATTATGCTCTCCTTTCTCTGAAAGTAGGAACTGAATCCATTCATTCCAGTGCTGTTAGCAACATTTTCAGTGCTTGTGTACTAGTACACCAAGTTCATAAATATTGGCTGAATGGATTTGACAGAACTGCAGTGGTGTAGGTCAGAAATAATGTGGATGGAAACTAAGACAATCGAAATGGGAAGGACCTAGAACATGATTTTTAATACTTAACTGATTTGTTTTCCTTTTGTGTTTTTCCCTGTGGGGAGGTTTTGAGGGGTACATTGAGCATCATCAAATAGCATGGAAATCTGTCTCATGGTGAATAGACCTCTTCCTATAGAAAAACTGGATAGTGGAGGGTAGCCCTGGTTCAAGACCCAGCCAGCTCAGTCACTTACTCAACCTAGAGCATGTCATCTAACCTCTGTGGAACTCAATTTCTTCATTGCTCAAATGGAACTAGAACTTTGATTGGAACATTTCTTATGAGGATAAAAAATAATTAACCTCAAAGAATTAAGAGCTCTGTAAATATTAATAACAGTTATAAAACCCCCCTCTAACAACTATTCTTAACACAATGACAAATTATAAAGTGGTTAAAAGTACAAGATGTGTTAGACACATCTGTGTTTGAAAATCTGCTTTACTCCTTTCTAGCTATTTGGCCTCAGGCAAGTTAAATAAAAAAGCTATAAGCTTTTCTTTTCTAAAAGGGGTTGATTTGTTGTAAAAAGAAAAAAAAATTGAATGAATGTAAAGTGCCTAAGTAGTATATAATATGTTCAATAAATGTGAGATATAAAGGTAAACACTCAAACCTCCTGGGAAGTAAAAGAGGTTAAATATATATAATGACTATTCCAAAGTCTAGCATGTAATAAATTCTCAACAAGTATTCACCATAATAGCATATACAATATAGATAGACGATAGATAGATAGATAGATATAAACATATACATGAAATAAGTATAATCTGTATTAGAAATTTCAAAGAGATACTAGTGGCTTCTTTTTTTTTTTATTTTTACCAGTACCAGCAATTCATGACTAAATGGTCTATAAAACTCAAGACATTACAGATGGGTTTCTACTGTATTAATAGAGTTGGAATGAATTCATGTTTTATGGAAACATATTATATACAATCCCAGAATGACTAAACTTGAATGTGAGAAAAATAAACACAAGTCTCATTGCTCAGAGATACCCTTAACATAGACATGTTACTATATACACACCGTACTTCATCTGTGCTTTTTCTCTGGAGAAATACATTATCATCTGCAATTATGTAGTCAATTCCCAGGAAC